GTATAATTGTGTATAACCTCATTAGACTCAGTGAGAAAGAAATTATGAAAACAATACTATTCACATTTGCATCAAGAAAAATTTATTAACTACGAATTAATCCATCCAAGGCACACAAAAAGATCCACAGTGTAAAAAAGTGTACTCTGAAAAGGAAATTGAACAAGACATCAGAAAACGGAAAGATGTGCCCTGTTCTTGGACAGGCGAAACCGATACAGTCACAAGGGCCGTACTACCCAAATGATACACAGATTCAACACAATTCCAATCAAACTACCAACAGCATTCATCACAGACATAGAAAAATGATCTGCAAATTAATAAGGAACCAAAAGAAACTCAGAATAGCAAAAACCAAATCCTGGGAGCAAGAACAAAGCAGAAGACATCACTGTAAGTGACATGAAGTTTTCTACAAATAAGAGTAATAAGAGAGTTATAGCACTGACACAAGATAGAACTGTGGATCGATGGAGAAAAATACAGATACAGTAATGACCTTAGACATAGTCAGCTACTCGATCTTTGACAAAGTGTCTAAAACCACATGCTGCTGGGAAAATAATCTCTATAAAACGTTATCTTGAAAAAAGCGGCTATCAATATGCAGAAGTTTGAACCTGATCCATTTCTCTCACCATGCAATAAACTCAAATCAAAACGAACCAAATTTTTAAGCATCACAAACGAAACAATAATCCTAATGAATCGTAAAATCAATAATTCATTGGAAGTCAAAAGTGTAGTCTGGACATTCAGAACGGAATTTCAATTGCACAATAAATAACACCAAGAATCTACACATGGCATTACGTCAAGTTAAAAACATTTGAACAGCAAAGGAATTCATGGGTAGAGAGCAGTGACAACTGACAAAATGGAAAAAAGTCTAATTACCCATGATTCCTCTGATAGAGGGCTAACTTTTAGAATATATAAAACCTTCAGAAATGAGATCACCCAAAATAAATGACCCAAATCAGAAAATGGACAAGTGAAGTGAATACACTTTTCTCCAAAGAAGTACAAATGGCTAAAAAAAAATATGAAAAAATGTTCAACAGTTCTGATCATTAGAAAAATGTAAATTAAAAAATGCTAGGGCTTCATTTCATACCACAAATAATATCAGTCATCAAGAAATCAAATAATAAAAGTACTGGCGAGGTGGCATTAAAAAAGGCAAACCTTCCTACTTTGATGATAGGAATGTAAAGTAGTACAACGGCTGTATAAATCAGTATGGAGATTTCTCAATGAATTAAATTTATAAATTCCATTTGACCTAGCTATTCCTCTTCTAGTTATATTCCCAAGAAAATTAAAGACATCATATTACAATTATACATGCATAATAATGTATTTTGGTGCATGATGCATGTTAGAGCCCCATGCATGTCAATAAAGTTAACAAATATATAAAGAAATAGTGGCATCTATACATAATGGGATATTATTTACTCCAAAGTATGTTAAATTCGAAGCATTTGTAGAAAAAAGGGTACAGCTGGAAAATGTAATATTAAATAAAAGATATCAGAAACACAAGCTTAACTGATGTGCTGTGTCTCTCCTTGGAGTAAGGAAAAATGCAAATTAAGAGCAAAATAAAGGATTGATACAAGGATACAGGTAGACAGATCATTTACAAATGGGATGGGATACAAGAGACCAAGGGTAAGGATAGGGCAAGGGTAGAGGGAGGGGAATATTAAAAAAAATAGAATGCATCATGTACATTTATTTTATAGACAAAAAGAATGTAAATTTTAGAAGTTGTAAATCAAAATAAAATGACAATGATAACAACAATAATAAAAATAGGAAAGGAGATTTAGATTCAGAGGGAGCAAGGGGAGTGGAGAAGGGAAGAGAGATAAAAATGAATCCAGGCATATTATACGCATGTACCAGTTCTTTGAGATCAAAGTAAGCTTCATGTATTAGAAACATGTTCTAATAAAAATATTGCACATACCCGAAGAGTTATGCCTATTTTTTACCATGTGCTCAAATGTCATTATATAGCAAGGTATAGTAATCACATGACAATTATGAGTATTTTAATATAACTAATTCAAGATTTTTAATAATGAACAAATTCATGAATATTAAGTAAATGAAGTAAGCATTTGCCTGTTTAGGCTCACTAAATACCAATGGGTTGATGAGTGGTTAGGTACACCTGGCTAGCAGCTACTCTATTGCACAGTCGAGGCCCAGGGCATTCTTTCTTGGTAGCACTGCCGGGAAAAATAGTTAAGAGAAAATTTTATGTCTGAAGTGCTGGTACCTTTGGTAAAAAAATTTTTTTTTCTGTATTTTAATCTTCTTTTGACAAGTACGTTAAAATAGTAACACATTGATACGTTTATGTCTCATAATAAAAAGACATTAGACCTTTTGTGTTGCCATAACAAAATGCATGCAAATATATAGCTTTCATACAATAAAAATTATTTCTTGCTGTCGTGGATGCTGAAATGTCCCAGATCACCATGCAGGCATGGGGAAGGCTTGCATCCTCTTCCTGCACTCGCAAGGAAAAGGTGTAACTGCTGGGAATGGCAAAAGGAAAGAGTTGTGTGTTCTCATATAAGCTTAAAGTAAGAAAAGCTTTACAGTGGGAAAAGGACTTAATCTGAAATTTGTGTAAGTGTTTGGAGTCTGTGAGGAATAACAGAAGGGGTGAACCCACTTTCAAGTCCTTTTGTAACTGCCCTTATTTTATCTATGAGGGATGTATTCACATCACTTCACTTTCAAACACCCCTCCCCTCCTTAGTACTACTGCATTGGACACTATCTGTCAGCATATCAGTGGGCAGGAGCATATACATCATAACATCTCCCTACTCCTTAAAAACAGTAGGCTATTGTAGTGTCTTAAGAGTACTGTTATTAGTAATCTGCTAATTTGATGAGACATTTGTAAATATGTAAGTTCTACAATGAAAATTGAGATTTTTCAACACACACATGTATTTTCCTAAATTAACTTTTACCTTTCTAGGCAGATAGATCCAAGTTAGTATAACTATCTTGGTCCAGTTCTCCATCATATTTATGTACATGTTGTGACACCATTTATCTTGGACTATTACAGATGTTTAAAAAATGTAAGTAGTGTACATTTCCTTACAGATGTGTTTCCTGGTCTTTAATGGAGTAGCTAAAAGGGGCTTATTAAAAGTCCAGTGTCATATTGAATGCATTAAGCAGCTTTATTCTGATCTATTTATGTAGCAAAGAGCCTTGGAAGAAAGAGGTCCCTCCAGGGAAGAGGGTAGATGTGTTTGTCTCATGAGCAGACTACTAACAATACCTCCTTCTGGGGCAGAGTTTGAGCAGGCTTGTTAGCAGTCCCTAAAAACTGAGGTCACTCAGCTATGCCGCAAACCCGTTGTGGGTGCATCACCTGCTGGGTGTGCTCCATGTCTCCTCCTCAGGATGTAGCAGGCAAACGCAACTGACAGGAATGTAGCTTCGGACACTTGCTGTTTCACCACTAATCAAGCCCATTGTCTCTAACCCAGGAGTCCGTGTTACTCTGCCACCTTCCACTAAACATGTGACAGAATAACCAGTGGGCTTGCAAGCTAGACCTTAAAATCCTACTTGGGTAAATAAGGCAAATATGCGTCCAGTAGGTCTATTTGGAGAAGCCATCTACAAACCAAAGGGCAGTGCAGGAATATTGCTTATATTACTATTGTTCCTTTAAAGGCTGCATTGAAACTGAGGGATGGGTCCTTAGCAGAACATCAATTTTTCACCTTGTAAACTATGCACAAAACTCCACATAGAGCATTATGTGATCTAACTTCTTGTCATGTGTTAAAGAGTTCCATTTCTTCTCCTGTCACCCTATACTGAAAGACATCCTTTTCAAGCACAAGCATATTTTATTTTGATCCTGCTGAGCACTAGAATTCTGATGCTCTTTAAAAAATATGTATAGAGTTTAAAAATTAATTTTACCTAGGACAATTGGTTCTAGCAACTGCAAGGACACTGGGTTCTATAAAATACAGTCACTACATGAATCTTCAAGCAAACAGCTATCCTTAGAAACGGGATGGATGATGCTTCTATTAAGCACCAAAAACTGTAGAAAGCTTCCCTGAGATGAAGGTTCCAGGTCCCATTCTCCCATTACCATTAAGGATCAAATGGTCAACCTCTTACTTTGATGGAGAGGTCCTCTCTTGGGCATTCCTGCTGCTCTTTCCAGTGTGTATATAAACTTTAATTTTCTATATCCCCTGGCTATCAGTAATTTCCTTCTCCAATCAGGGCATTGGTCTTTCACACGTCACACCTAGCATGGCTGATGGGAGAGAGGCAGAATGGGCAAAGCAGAAGAGATGCAAGAGGTGGGAGGTATAGAGAACTGGAAATTAAGTATTTTCCTTGTAAAATCTCTTGATGCATTTCATGTTTTAGTGAACCCTGGACCTCAAAATGAAGGAGAAAGGTAAGCACTACTCTTGGTCCAAACCAAAACATCTGAAGATACAGGTGCTGCAAAGTAAAATCCACCCATAACTAGCCTTGTAACCTTCACTCACGTTTTCCTACTTGTTGCCAGTTCTACAAGTTTCTACATTAAAAATATTCCCAAGGTTGTGTGAAATTGTTCTTCTGGTGAAAAAGATACTATTCACTCTTGTCCTTGCTTTGTTTTCAAATCCTAAATTAATTAATAAATCCTTTATTTGAAACCACATTAAAACAATGTTACTTTCTTTCCCTCCTAATTCCAGAGATCTCCCACCTAACTTAAACTCCCCCCATCTCACCAGCCACCCAACCTTCCCTCACTCATCCAATCCCCTCATAACCTCTCCACATATATCCTAGTATGAAACTTGTGTAATATGTACCCACAAAGATGGGGAAGATGCGTCTTAAAAGGAATAATCAACAGGCAACTAATTAACTGAACTGCCAATTTTGCCTTTATTATTTTGGCAAATGAATTCGACTCCGAATTCTCACATGGCATACTTTTCAGTCCATCGTCGAGCTATTCTTTCATACTCTGCCCTATTCTTAAGGTAGAGATTGGCAATCTCGGGAACCAAGGGATCCTCTGCATTGGGATCGCACAACAGGGAGCAAATAGACAAAAGAACCTTAGAAATTGTAAGTGCTGGCGACCACTGGCCCCTGAGGATATCCAGACAGATTCTTCCGTTTCTATTAATATTCGGATGGTAAATTCGGGTCTTGAATATTACCCTGGGTGGGTTGAATGGGTAATCGGAAGGAAACGCAATGGTTAAAAAAAACACTCCGCCCTGGTAGGGGCTGTCATTGGGTCCCATGATGGTTGCTTGCCATAGAAACGGGTCTTCTCCCACAGGTCCAGCAGAGCAGTGGGATGGGGGGTCACGAGCAAGATCGACAAGCTCTTTTTGAATCCGCTTTAGAGCCATTGTTCTCAACTCCTGGTGCCCAAGATCTGGCACCGTTTCAGGCGTCTGCCGCGGGGCACCGTTGATGTTGGACCCCAAGGAACAGCACCAAGACTCCTAGAGGACAGAGTCTTGAGTTGAGGATTCTAGTTGGTCCCAGGAAAGGCGGCTGTGAGAAGAGAGAGCAGAAGAAGACAGTTGGTGGCGGGTGCTGGACTTTACTATGGGAGCTGCTGGACACCTGTGGCTCGAGGCTGCCACCTTAGATGGGATTTAGGGAGGCTGGGACTTCACTTACCGCAAGGAGGTTACCTGTTCCTCTGAGTCCTCCTCCGGGAGAGGCCAGAGCTCCTGCCTGGGGCAGCCCGCCACTGTCTCTGGTCCTTGAAGCCAGGCCCTCTCCACAATGATTGGACATCCGGTAGGTGAGGTCACAGTGTCCACACAGAGACTGCGTCACAGATAGGCGGGGACTGATGCAGGCCGGTTGGGGGCAGGGCAATGAGGGCTGGCTTGAAGGTAGAGGTGGCTGAAACATCTCTCACCCAGCTCTTGCTCTCAGGACTGGCAAGTAGGGCATCCCAGTTACCAAAATAAATAAAATGAATTTTCCCCTACATCTCACTCAGAGTCACCACTTGGCATTATCCTAAATTCTGTCTTCTCTCCAGATATGTCTTTGAGACAGATATATTTACCAACACATAATCTCTGTAGATAACTTTAGCAAATTTAATATTCAGGCAATAATTTGAAAACCTTTATAAGGTTCTGGCAATTTTATATTTTATGAAGATACAAAGATTGTAGAAATTAGATTTGAACTTAAAGCCAATTTAATTTTGAAGAGCACTTGGGAGAATAGGGATGAAAGGCAGAAAGATGAGAAACTACTACTTTATCTGCCATATAGACTTCTGTGTAAATGTAACACTGCTACATTTGATATAGATAATCTAATAGTATATCTACATTCATTTTGTCAATTGATGCACCCTACTCTTAGTTTCTGAAAACCTCTTCTAAAAGATTCAGGCTAGGATCACACATATTGTTCCTCTTTATCATGTCTGTCTAGACTGTTTGAGTCTGAAATGACCAATTGCTTTCTGTATCTTATTTATGTTACTGACATTTTTGAAAAATGCAGCATACTTGCAAGCGTTCATGCACATCTGTGAGTCTTAAAGATCTTCATAATAAATTTAGTCAATTTGAGTGTGAGGAAGAGAAAAATGGGAAGGACTGCTCAGCTTTATATCGTGAATGTTGTAGTCAAGTTAATAGTACATCATGATGTATTGCATTAGGATGCATGTTCTGTTGTCTTTTGGAAAAGTACACTGAGTTACTTTCCTTCACAGGGAGTTTGTATTTCCCAGTTTTTAATGAATAATTGAGAAGCTGATAAGTCTGGTGATTAAATTTCCAAAACTTGAAGAAGTGCAATGGTCATGTGATGCAGATGGACTGTGATTTCAGATTAAGTTCTGAAATCACATAACAATAATATAAATTTACATAACAATAATATAAATATACTTTAAATACACTTATTCCATCATTCTTGTCACTTTCTGAAGCAATTTTGCAAGTCCTCATTTGTGTCTAACTGCTTTTGTTCCTGAACTTACTCAAAATGTTTACCCTTTTTGGTCATTTTGACTTTGAGGAAGAGCCAAACTCACTAGGTGTCATATCCCGTAGATGAAGATGAATTGTAACACATTGGTGCACCCGCTTTTCTGGTGGGTGGCACTCTCAGTGGCAGCATTCATTGCAGTTTCAACCACATCTTTTAAGGCTGATAAACGTATATGTACTTTTGTGTGTATTTACAAAATTGAATTAAAATGTTATTTCAATAAAATTCCTAATATGAGGTCATATACAGTTCTCTTCCCTTCTCCTCCTGCCTGTCTTTGTTGTCCAAATACTTGTCCTCTTCCTTTTCATCTTCGCTTCTTCTTCCCCCAGCTCTTCTCCCTCTTTCTACTCCTTACCCATCTTTCTCCCCTCCACCATCTCCTCCAACCCTCTGCCCCATTTTCCTTCTCAACCTCCTCCTCTCCCTCCGCCACCTGCTCAATGTCCTCTAGCTCCTGCTTCTCTTCTTTCTTATGTATGTGTTTCCTTGGAGAGCTAAAACAAAGAGCAACAAAGACAGCGGCTATAAAGAACAGAAATCTATTCTCTCACAGTGGATTAGTTTTGAGATCATTGTATTGACAAGGTCACCTCACCTATAAAGAGTATAGAAAAATCTATACATGCCTCTTCCTAGCTTCTGTTTGTTCTCAACAATTCTTATTCTTTCGCTAGTGTCTGAATCATTCCAATCTCTCTTTTGTCCTTCATTCTTTTGAGACAGGTTGTCACTATGCACTTCAGGCTGTCGTTGAACTCACTTTGTGGGCAGTCTGGGCTTAAACTTGCAAGTATTCTCCTGCCTCAGACTATGTAGAACTTTGATTACTGGCGTGCACCACCATGCACAGCTACAATCCATCTTTTGTCATAGATTTCTTCCTCATGTGTATCTTGTTGTTATTTGTACAACTCTCCTTTTTTATCCATAGTATCAATCATTGAAATAAGTATCCAGTCTCATCCACTATAGTCTCATGCTAAGTTGATTACCTCTGTGAAGACTATTGTGAAGAAAGTAGTTCAAAGTTCTGGGGCAATATGAATTTGCAGAGGCCATTCTTCAACCTAGTGTATTTGTGCTCTGTCTTGGAAAGTTCATATTTGTTCTATGCACAACACAAATTCTACACATTCTAACATCTCCATCATTTTTTTACATGTTAGAAAGAGCTCCAATTACATAACCTTAACTGAAAACCATCAGTGTAAACAGTTCCAAACCTCATTATTTGACTAGTCTAAATTAAGTAAAGGTGAGACTGAGTATTGTTCATAATGGAGAAAAATGATCTGCCTTTTAAGACTTGTAAAACTAGAAATCATGTAATGTCTTCCAACATTCAGTAATACAGCAATACAGTAAACATATCCATTATGGAAAGTCTAAACATGAATGAAAAAAATTATTAGTTGGCCTCAAGCAGTTGTGCAATTCAGCAACAAAAACTCTTTATTAATTTTTATTGGCTGAAGATAATTCCTCTTTGCATGAACCCAAATGCATGACATATGGGTGACTGAATTAGAAAAGAATTGCAATCCATGTAAATTACCAAAATAAATGCAGGAGTAAAAATTCTATGGCAATTATGGGCAGCAGAAGTGAACTCCATGTGAATAGAGTGTCATAATAGGGACGAAGACAGAGAACATATGCTCACAAATATCTCTAAAAATAAATGAATGCATAAAAAATATTTCCAACATTTGCTGGATGAGGCAGAGACTAATTTAAGACTAATTGGCACTAGTGAAAAGATAGCAAAAATTTTATAAATAATATGTTTACAAACATAATAGAGAACTTTCCACATATGGGGAAGAAATCGAACGTATATAAAAGTGAGGAATACCAAAAAACAATTAGCATGTACAGAATAGAAACTCTGTGGAACACATCATGGTCAAAATCCCAGAAGCTTTGAACAATTCATAAAGGTTGAGAGAGAAGGGCAGTGATATGCTTATAAAGGTCAACCCACGAGAATTCACACAGGCTTTTAATCACAAACCTTCAAAGGCATTAGGAGTTGGAGAGGAGTTCAGAAGTCCAAAAGAAAAAATAATCTTTCAAACAACATCAATATATCTTGCAAAACTTTTTAAAACTTAATGGAGGAATCAGATATTCTAATGAAAAAGAGCAAATAAAAATTCATTATGGCAAATAAACACTTTGAAAGAATTCTCAAAGTTATCATACAAAGACAAATTCTAGCTACATAGTTAAAAGTGCTACCACAAAGAAGACACTACGTAGGGTGAGGCGTTACATAGAAGGGAAAAAAGGAGTCATCAACAGGAAAATAATGTGATGACAGTAAGAAGTCTATACCTTTCAGTATTGATCCTCAATGTGAAGGTCACAATTCTTCAGTCAAAATACACAGGTTAACATAATGTGTCAGGAAAAAAAATCTAATTATGTGCTATAGACAAGAAAAATATGTGACACAAAGTATAAATTCATACACTAAAAATCAAAGGCTAGAATCAGTACTTCATGCAATGGGAAGCCCACAAAACCAGCAGTTGAAATTGATCTCAATTTCACACAAAGTGGATCTCCAGGCAAAACTGATCAGAAGACAAAATGATACTTACATATTTGTGAAGGCACCAATAATACAAGAAATGATTCAATTATGAATATGTATGCACAAAATAGCATCCCACCCAACTTCATGAAATAAACACTACTGGAAGGCATTAAATATCAGATAAACAAAGTGGGGCCACATGGATATCATCAGCCTCATTGCCCCACTGTCACAAATACATTAAATAGAAAAACTAAACACAGAAATATCAGAGCTGAACCAAAGGTTTGAACTAAAGGACTTAATAGATATCTTCAAAGTGTTCTAACCAAAAGAGCAAGATATGTATTCTTCTCAGAAACTCGTGGAGATTTCTCCAATGTACACCACATAGTAGCCAACAAAACATAATCAGGTAAATGCAAATAACTGACAGTATCCTATTCATAAGAATACAGCACAATGAAACTAGAAATAAATGACCAAAACCTAGAGAAATTATGGAAGTGCATGAAAATTGAAAATACACATTTGAGTAAACAGTGAGTCCCAGAAGAAATCAAGGCAGGAATTAATAACTTCCTGTAGACTAAAGCTAATGCTAGTGCAACATACCAGAACTAACAGTACTCACTGAAATGAGCCCTAAGATATAAGTTCATAACTAATCAGGAAAGCAGAATAAGACAAAATAAAGAATCTAATGATGCACACAAAGGTCCTTGAAATCAAGAAAAATGCAAATCCCAAGCTAGTATGTGGAAAGGAAACAAAAAGATCAGAGCATAACCCAATATACCTGAGACAAAAAAAATTTGTGGAAAGAATCTATGAATCAAAGAGCTGGCTCTATGAAAATACGGGCAAAATAGACAAACCCTTAGAAAATCTTGCCAGAAAAAGGAAAGAAAAGACCCATGTCGATGCAGTTAGAAATAAAAAAGTGAAATTCTAACACAGAGTCAAAATGCAGAAGCGCATTAGCAACTACTTTGAAAACCTGTGCTCTAACAAATTGCACAATTCATGTGAAGTGGATGCACTGGGAACTACATATAAATTGTCAAAACTGAACCAAGAAGGTATGAAAACCCTGAATTATCCAGTAACAGGCAATGTAACTGAAGTAGTATTTAAAAACTTACCATCTAAGGAAATCACGGGTCTTGATGGATTCACTG